ACCAAGACGGCTCAACTCATTGGCATTTCCCGGACCGAGGCCAAGGTTCTCAACTATGCGCGCCTCTACGGATCTGGGATGGAGTTCACCAAACATCTTCTTTCAAAGTTTCAGACCAATTTGCGTGTACGCAAGTTAGACTGTCCATTTATAAAGTTGGGGCTCCCGTGCCGTTCTAAGTAATCCTCCTGTAATTGCAACTTCATTTATTCCCCTTATAGGTAGGAAGCTTATTTCACGAAATCTTAGCCGAACTTCTGAAATGTATTTTCCATTGGAAGACATTTCTTAGGTGGGGTTGTAGTAGTGGTTATCGTGCAGTGTAATTCCAAGATATTTCAGTCACACCGGGGCTTTCGAATGTGCGTCTTTCCAGCCGCCAAAAATACCACACGCGGTAAAAATAAGCGCTTAGGCACGGGAATATGGACTCCAGCACTACGGGTGGCCTCGTGCTTAATTCCTGGGAGGGTTGGATTTGGAGCCAGGGGGACTAGCCTTTGAGTTAGGTTTACGAGGGTTAGTGTTAAGGCTAGGTCTATGAAAGTTGGGACACAAAAAAAGGATCCCCAGACATTTGGCGCGAGGCCACCTGTAGTACCGGGGAGCCCATATTCTCGTCTCCGACGAAATGTCTACTTAAGTTGTTTGCATTATTCCATTTCCGCCTCCTTACAAATGGTTCTCGAACCTCATGATTTGGTGCCGGATTGTCTTTTTCTCAGATTTAAAACAAACGATGACGCCGGACCCGTCGTTGATGTATTTTAGCGTTCGCACATCTCTTCGTTCTCCCGCCATTGAGTTTTAGATTCCTTTGATTGTACAGGTTATTTTAATGGTCAACGCAATTGTCTGTTTGTTTTAGACAGGCTCCGGAGGCATTCCACTTCACATACTTTGCTTTAATTTCACTGGCATATATGATGTCATAGATTTTTCAGCCTGCATGGTACACACTCTCGCAGCACAAACGGACGGTACTTCCTAGATAGTCATTTATTAGGCAGCTTATCAGAATGGGCGTAAATTGCGAGCTTTTCTGCATTTTTATCCTAGCCTGAAGAAGCTGACACAAAGGCAGAGAAGTTGATGAAAGCTACAAAGGGCCAACGTGTCACGTTGCCTATGGACGACCAACTTGCTAGCGAGTCCTCCTTGAGGTACGTGTGGAAGGGCGGCACCGAATCCGCCGTCTTCAATGCCCTCGAGGCGATCGCCCGCAGTCCTCAACCGCGCACTCCTGTGTTAGGAGCCCAGATCACACGTGCCCTGGTACCTGCGGTTGTTAAGAATGATGTAAGTCCTAATAGATCCGCACTCCATGGTACACTAGAGGGACTCGACGGGAAATCCCTTTATAATGCCTATTTTGCAGTATTATTGCAGTTACGACCCTATCGGCTGGTTCGGTCGCTTAAAGTGATGTGCAGGAAGTCGAAGTCCCGTAATATCCGGCAGAAACGCGGAGAAAGCACACATTACCAGGTCAGGTGACGTGATCACTGGGCAAAAGATGATGATTTAGGCCTTTCTTTACCTTACTTCACATGACGATGTCGTTAATCTAGCAGTCATGTTTGTAGCTGAACTAACTATAATTTCTGTTGGCATAGACTATTTTGTCGAACGAGAGCACTAAAAAACCCAAGCATTAATTTCGTCGGGTTTTGGAAATAAACACTCCCGAAAATATATTCCCGAAGAGTGTCTACTTATTTAATTTGGGTAGGCACGCGCGCATACCTGTCGGGGGCGCCCATGCGAACGTTTTCACGTGATCAAATGGGCGACCAATAGAAAACCGACTGAAGACAAAAGACAGCAAAAAGCAGTAAAACGTAAAGAGAAACCACAGGTCTCATCATTTGTGGCGCAAAGCTACTAACCGGAGTGGAGACATGGAAGAGACAGTGGACGTTTTCCCACGACCTGGTTGGCGATTGACAGAAAACCAACGAAAGTCTAAGAAACCCACTGGCACTCACTGCCCGATTTTATTGTCTATCAGCAGAAAAACGTCTGATTACTGCGTTGCCTTACCTAGCGGGTTCGCGAGGCAAATTTAGGAATGTATGGGCTCATAATGGCGGTCCAGGTGCCACTCACTGAATTAGGAAGGAACCTAGGTAACGGCAGTGTTCCCCGAGGTCAACGCATGCTTTCACCGACGTCGGAAGCAGGACTCGCGGTCTACAGCAGCAAGTCACCAAGGGGATGTCTTTCGGCAACAGTGTCGATGACTAGTGCAAAACCGGCTGCGTAACGTGAATTCCGTCGCAAACGTTATATAAAACATAGGCGAAAATAGAAAGAATCCACTTGGATGACTGCACGCCAATCAGACAGTGAAGGGAGAATGCGCTTTTAACGGCAATAGGCCTCAGGTATCATTTAAAAATATACCAGGCTACCTAAATCAGACAAGTAGAGACTATATGGGAATATGGTTTGAAGGTACTTATTCTCGTGTTCTACCCTCGGTTTTTTGCGAGAAACAGCGCAAAGATACTGCACGTTTCAATTTAATTGTCTTCGACTGTTGTTTGCGTCTTCAAGGAATTCCACTATGCGCACCAGAGTAGGTTTTTTGTCTGCTTACCCACTTACTGCTATGAGGACATTGTCCTTTCTGTAGTAAGTCGGGGGGAGTTGATCCTTTAATTTAAGAGTCTGGTAAATCACGCCGGGAACCAAGCCGGAGGAGGAGTGGGTGACGTAGAACCTTTCATCATTCTTTCATTTGCGAGCAGGAGCACTGTTCTGAAGCAAAACGAATGGACTGAAGAGGTCTTATCGTCGTTTTCACATATCGATTCGCTCGTTCTTAGGGCATTTAGCCAACGCTATTACCACTAACATCCAAGTGAACGTGCATTGAACATCTATTAACCTCGCTCTACGGAGTGAACATTTTTTGAATGCTCGATGGTAAAGCTGTACCACACCCGGAGTTGTTTACGTTCAATTCTCCAGAGAACGAGGTTCTTCAATCCACTTCATAATGAAGTTGTAAAGAAATCGGGCCCTAGTATGTGTCGATCGTGCGAGAATGAAAGTCGAAGGGGATGATTTTCCTCCATTGACTATAACTCACCGAAAGCGTACCTAACTTTAATGTTCTTGGTACTAATGTCTGTTTGGATCCGAAGCTTCGGAGGTTACACGCTTGCGGGTTTTAAAGCACCTGAAGTAAACGCAAGAACACGAAAAATAGTGTCTCGTGACCGTTTTTAAATCGCGACTCACCAAAAGCTAAAGACGTTCCCCGTCCAATGTTCATTCGTCCAGGCGACTGCAGCCACGCATGCACTAACTGGCCAGTCATTCATCATTACTCCTGACGTCCACGCAAGAGCCCTGATGCATTCAACACTGATCCTCTTTCGTGGGGGACTTCTTTAAGAGTGGAAGAATTTTTGTATCTCTTTGCGGGGCATAGTTTACCCTTCAAGGACGACAGCGCTTTAAACATGATCGAGCGGTGGTTACGTTACATCACAGAAAAGACCTATAACGCAGCTTAACCCACACTTAGCAGTCCTACTAAGACCGTTCTAATTAGAGCGACGAAGGATGCCTCGTCTATGCACGCTATCTCAAATTGTGCTCATAAATGTAAATGCACTTGCTGGTG